CGATTTTCACCTTACGCTTCGTCTCGATGCCCATCCTATTCATACTCAAAGAAGTTATAGCCCTATAAGAATTCTAATCTCACCCAAACTCCTTGACCAAGCCTTATAAACCTGATGGAACTCTAACTCGACGATGTTACTATGGCGATTAGGATTGTAGTCACAATATAAGTTCAATATCCGTACCGAATAGGACTCTTTCAGATAAGGATGCTCAACTAAACTAATCCTACTAGGAGTGCACCACCTATATCTATAAATATGATGCTCCCTCCTATTATTTAGGTACGTTTTTCATTATTTTCAGTTTATTTTGCAAAAATTCTCTTTTTGACTTAAGCATCGGAAGGGCAATGAGAGCACACTTCGTTGCTTTTGTTTCAGGTACTGGAAGACTATGCTGGTGCTCATTTGCAGTCCTCAAGTTTCAGGAAATCAGCAGGTGCAGATTTTTGGTAGCATCATTTGGTTTTAATTGACATAGAGTTATAGTAGGTTAAACAATCGGGTCAAAGGTTAATTTCGCTCGAGAAAAGTAATTAGCTGTAATTGAAATATCGGGTCTAACATGGTAAACAAGTAATTTATTAATTGGCTTGTTGAGAAATTAATTAGGCGACGGCTAAGTGAAACCATGAATCTCAAACATGTTTTGTTCCAAAATTTCCAAGTATTTATGTTTTCTTACTTTTGTTGATTTTTATTTAATTTTCTTTATTTTCCAAAACCAAATCTGTATTGTTTGTTTGTTTTTATTGATTAAATTTGTGTAATCTAAAGTAAACATTATTCGAAAAATCAATAATTCAAACTCAAAAAGTTTACTTTATTACTTGAACGCGACCCATGCACTTGCGATTTGCACTTTCTTAGCAAACAAACGCATTATGTCAAGTTATTGTGGTTGAAATGAAATTTATGGAGTCACTTGATAATATATCAATTCTTAATTTCCTTTGCATTGATTGGTTGAAAAATGTATGGAGACTTCACATATTGTTAAAATAACCAGTCTTTTGTTTTGTTTTGTTTTGTTTTGATATTTGTTAGTGGTGTACGTGTGTGTAAGTTATGAAAACAAGTGATGGTTTTTCTCAATTACTTAACCATTTTCTTTTACCCACTCATCAATCACATTTGCTTTATATATATACTTAACACATAGTTCCTGAATATACACAACTCTATATATTTTGCCATTCTTCAAATCAATGCAGAAAGGAAATTTTTTTTTTTTTCAAATTCTTGTCAAATTTCATATTTTTAATTAACGTAAGATACTTAAGTACAGTGATTGAATTTTAATCTCCATGATATCTATATTATGATTTCATTCAATATCTTAAGACTCCAATGTCAACTTTTATGTTAAATCATTAGGGATAGATCGTCAGGTCCAATTATAATAAATCCTTTGAAATGTAGGAATTCTAAAGAAATTTCTTGAACTATCTATTATCGTGATCAGTGGTTCGAAATCTATGAATGTTAGGTATGAATGTTTCGTCTATATTTATGTTATGTTGAATAAAAATTCGTCGTATCTTATTGATGTTTTATTTAAAATACTCACTTTTACAATATTTCATATTCTAACGAGTCTTACTGGACTCATGGAAGATTGGACGAGTGGATACTTATGGTTTATAAAGTAAAAATGATTTTTAAGCACGTTCATAACTAGACTTTCATTTAACATTATCAAGTTTAGTATTTGCACATTTTTTTGTAGCTTCAACATTCATATTTTATATGTATTTTGTTTAAATTGATGTTGAATGATTTTAATTAAATTTAAATGTTGGTTTAACTACTCCTTTATATTCATTGAGTCGAATTATCAAATTTTTAAAATTCCAAGGCGTATTTTATTTCCTCAAAAACAAGAATTTACGTTCTGTATCTATACAATAAATAAGAAATTTGGTAACAGTTCGAGTTTTTTTTTTTTAATTGAAAATTTTGAGGCGTTACAGTAATTAGTTGGAAATGTTCCAAACATGAAAAATCATTGATTCAATAGCAAAAGACTAATAAACCATTTATTCAAAAGTAGCAAAGAGTTACAATTTGTATCAAGAAGTCCATTAATGAATTTAGAGTAGCTCATAACAATGTTAATTCTATACCTCTGTATTATGACAATAATAAAGCCGTTGCGCAAGCGACAATATTAAGGTCTCATCAATGATTCAAACATGTGTTTAGGCAGTATCATCTCATTCAAGAAATAATATAAAGAAATGACGTAAAGAAAGAATGAGCTCCCCCCATAAATAATATTACAAAGAGTTGATGCAGTAAAAATATGATCGTCGTGTAGACTCTTATGGTATAAGACACATGAATGATTAAATAATTAGATCTATTGCAAGTTGGAATTTGTAAGTAGATGCATTAGATCCAATCGATTTCAGACATAAACACTTTTAATATATAATTGATACATTTTATATATGGCAAATATATTATTTATTTGAACTAATATTCTAATAAATTAAATAATAAAAGTCCGTAGATTCAAGTTTTAATAACTTGTTAATTACAAGAAATTGTGGTCGTGAGATATAAATTGCATGATTGAATATTAAAACATTCGTAATCGTAAGTAATGATGAAATATGGATACCGTTATTACGATAGACCATTACATGTGGCATTTTATTCTTGTGAAGTAAATAGCTAATCTCACAAGTTGTGAATAGTCAATAGAGGATTCGTCATTCTTAGATATCAAGATATTATTATCTACATTTCATTCGGCTAAGTTGATAACAAAATTCTTAACAAAAGTGTACTCATAAGTCAAAAGGAGTTTTCAATTCACATTGACTTAATAGCGAAATGAAATATATTATCGGTAATCAAGATTGACATACTCCATATCTCGTAATTGATCGGATCATAATGACGAAATGATTATAATTTCACGATTAAAAAAAAGTTTAATTATCATATCACATGACATTTTTCGTCACATGTGTTGCCCTAACACAATGTTAGATGCCAATTTGGGACGACAAATGTAAATTAATTAATTTAGCTGAATTAATTATAAATTAAAAGGGTATTTTAATTTATCTTATTTTTGATTTGATCAAAATAACGATTCATGTCATTATGCATCATAATCGAAAACTTAATGGGTTACACACAATAAGAATTAGAAAAATGAAAAATATAAATAAATTAATTGACAAATATTCGACAATTAAAAAATTAGGTTACTTATTACTATCCCTAATTAATTAATTAATTAGATTAATTAATTAATGGACTGTGTTTAATTAATTAAATTAATTAAATATGGACCGAATTAAGTTTAGGTGTCGGGCCAAGCCCACTTGGACTTCTATTATTTGAGAAATAATAATAATAATAATAATAAAACACACACACACACAAAATTATTATCTAGTTAGTATAAGAAAAGAGAAATCCTAATTCCCTTATTCCTGATCCCTGTATAAATTTTCATTGGATGCTAGACAATTGGACAACTGTATATATTGCAGATCGTGATTGAACGTGTGCAAGATAAGCAAAGGAATTTGCAAAATTCAACAAATATATAATTTTTATGACAATTTCTTTTCAAACCCAAAAAATAAAAAATAAATGTAAAAAAAATCCTTGGTAGGAATTGAAATATTGTTTAAATTCTGCAGTGCATCTTAAGTAAATTCCCAACATGTATATCGAGAAATCTATGGATCAACTCAGGACAACCAATTTGAAGAATCTCTGATTTAGATATTCAGTTAGTTCAAGGACTTGGGGAAATGGGTGGATATGATGAAATAAAGCCAATTTGATGTTTCTTTGAAATGAGACATTCAAACTCAAAAGGATCTCTCTCTTTCTCAAAGAATGAGGGACCAAAAGTGCTTGTAGTGATTTCCCCACCGTGGTCGTGGATGATAGAGGGCTCGATTTCACCCCTCCTATCAGCTATAGTTTTTCGAGAAACGTGGGTCATAAAAGATGCTTTTCAAGATTTCTCTCTCTCTGGTTTCTTTTTCAAAAGAATCTTATTAATATAGTTCAGGTGACCTTCCCCTGAAAGATGGTTAACATGTTCTATTAGTGGCTGGTCCAGATGTTTTGTTTAATTATTACATTGCAGGGATTGCTGAGATTTCAATTACAGATTAGCAGGTATAGATCGATGAAGTTATACCTTTTTTTTAAATAATTTTGAAATTTAGCATTTTTAATATATAAATTAGGATTCAATTTTTAATATATAAATATAAGGGTCGTAATTTCATAGAAACAACCTTCTTCAACAAGAGATCTACTATACAAGAACCTAGTGCTGATGGTATCATTTTATGACATTACTTCTAACATACGATTCTTTATAGATTCCATCGACTAGTCCGCACTCGATCCAAATGACAAAGAAAGAGGCATCTTTCTAGAAATGCTTATAATATTTCAATTTGATTATGATCTCTCTATCAAAGTAGGCTAATCTTAAATGAAACATCCTATAGTTTGGATCCCATGTTGGGATATCTCATTAGAATGTGTCCGACTCCGATGGTACAAGAATAATGGAGCTTTATGACTTGTATTTACTTTGCCTAGGCAACCGATTAATTTTTCTGGCACATGAAAAATTCAGTTTTACCATTGTAGCTTGTTAGCAGACCCTCAAGCATATTAGGCAAAGGGTGATGCTACAACGGTGTCTACCCCCTCACATTAAGAAAGATGCTACAACGGTGTCTACCCCCTCACATTAAGAAAGACCCACTTTTAACAAAATATATTTTATCCCAAGTAAGTTCCCCTCCATGTGAATAGGATGAACACAGTCATAAACATAAACACCGCATTATGTACAAATAACATATTCCTTTGGCATAAACTCTCCAGGACTTGTGATCTGAGCTTGAGGTCACTTTTGACTAATCCACCACGAAGGTCAAGCAGAATTTGATTTCTCCGTGCGGACTGTAGATCAAGACCAAAGTTCCACGTGGAATGAAAGATATCTTTAAGCATGGGAAATCACATATGATATGATTACACTAGCGGCAAAAAACAGAAACGTAAAAGAGAGGGTAAAGCCATGCCGTCAACGAAAACCATTCAAACATAGAAATTCTAACACATTCGGAGGAAAAGAAGTGCTACGTGTGAATCAAGAGATTCTGAAACACGTATAACTGTTTGCCATTATGACCATCCTATGATCCCACAATCGGGCAATTTTCTATCCTCTCAGCCAAGTGTTTCTATATGATGAGTTGTCACGCAATGAAGCATCATGGGGTTTGTATTCCATTACATAGCTGGGGGGAAGCTTAAGATGTCGCTTGATAGCATCCCTCAGCGCCATTACAGCCTGATAAAACAAACCAAAGTCAGCTAAGCTTGGTCAAGCAGACACAACAAGGGCTTGGAAAAAACTACTCACCTCGTGATCCTTTGCATTGCGATTCCACACGCTCAGTATGTCCTCATTAAAACGGATGCTTAATACTGCACCACAAATGTTATCGCCATAATCAAGTTGGTCTCCCACTAGAGCTAGAACCTGCATGCAAAATTTTCAGATGCTCACATTCTCAACAGCCAAAAAGAATACATCAACATTGCCCACCCAATGCATGATTTCGGCACCACAAGTATGTATGTAATTATGATAGTAAGACAGAAAAATGAAGAGTAGTGTCCATGTAGACGACCACAGGTAAGTATGTAATCGGACTTCGAGTTGAGTCGATCCAAGTATATTAGAGAATACTGTAAACATTAGAGTACACCCAATATAAGGGCAGAGAATAGTTTCATATCCCCTTCCGAACACACAGACAGTGAGACTTTATTAGCTCTAGTAAAATTGATAGACAAGTTCAAAGAAGTTGCATACAGATAATAGAAGAATTCAGTTTCCCCACAAACAGTTATCATCAAAGTTTCTGTGGCAATTAACATTCACTGACATCGAGGCTAACAACCCAAAAAACAGAAAGTAGACAGGGAACGGGAAAGACATGAAATCATATGAAAAGAAAAAGGATGATATCATGGAGCCGAATGACATGAAATCACATTATTGGGCAACTTTTTGCCATACCAGGTCTTCCCAAAAGCGACCTGAGACAGACTTTTTAAATCTAATAATCCATTTTCCACCATTGCAGTTGGCAGAATCCTGATAAAAAGAGAAATAACATGAGAATAATATTTCGTCTTTAAAAGAATAACTAAACAAAGTAGAAGAAAGAAAGAAGAAAACAATTCACTGACTCGAGTTGCAAAATCATACCTCCCACAGTGGACGAATACCCTCCTTGAAAAGATGTAAATCAGTTGGACTTGGCATTGTTGAGGGCCGAGCCAAATGGCAGTAGCAGACCCAGAAACTTTCAACCTATGATCAATCAACTTTCAACTGTAAGAATAATGCATTAATCCCGTAAGTAATAAAAAGTAATGCTAAATCTCTAAGTAGAACTCACAGAAGGTGAAAAGCTAAAAGTTAGGCCAATTTTAACATCTTTAAAACATTTGCGTTGAAGAGAAAAACTCACCGTGCTAAATTCTATGATCTTCTTTATATTGTCCTCATATGATGTTTGCGTTCTAACTCCAGGTGTGCGTCGAGTGTACCAGAATACAAATTTGTGCTGACAATCGCATCGAAGAAAGAAAGTTTCATCATAATCATTACAGAAGGATATGACATCATCATAAAATTAGGTAACAACATTGACAAAAGGCATCTTTCTAAGAGGTAAAAAACCATCAACAATATATCCTTCTTCCTATGTAATCAAACATAAAGACCTTTATAATGGATTTCTTGAAATCACAATCAAAAAGCTATACAAACGTCCAGGAAGAAAAGAATAAAGAGCCATCCAGAAGCCTTAATATAATCAATCATAAATTTCACCTGTACTCATGCAATTCAAGGGAGAAAAAAATGAATTCAGATTGGATCATTGCCGATATTGTTTTATTAATTTTCAAAGTTATCGACAGCCAATAGTCACACCACAATGTCATCCTAAAACATCTAGAAATAATTAAAGCATCCTAGTGTTTGCACAATAAATTAGTGGACACTAAATCACAACAGCAGAGCCTCAAGGAAAACATAGAAGACCCTTTTTACCATGAATTGTTTCAACAATAGCTTTTAGAGGTACAGACAAGTGAATAGATGGAGCGAAAGATGATAGACACTACAGTTGAAGAAAATTTGGGGCCTTTTCCTTAATTTTTCGTTCACATTCCAAAGTCCTCCAGGCAAGGGTAGGCAAAAATACCAAAAAAACCAACCAAGCCAAACTGAGTTCGGTAAGTTTAGGTTGGTTTAAACCAAAAAATAGGTATGGTTCGGTTAATTTTAACCATTAAAAAGTCGGGTTGGTTTCGGTTTAAGCAAACAACCCGCTAATACATTTTTTATTTTTTTAAAATTTTAAAATTTATCTTTTAAACATGAAAAAACAAAATAATAAAAATACAAATATAAATTTTCCTCAAATGATTTGTTTATCATCTATATTTTTCTACCAAAACTCCAAATATCAAAAGAAAAGAAAACAAGAAGAGGTGTTTGATGTAAACTTCAAATTTAAATTATAATCTTACTCTCATTTTGGTGTAATTATTTGTTTGTAACTATTGGATGTAAACACACACACACATATGATGATTTTGGAAAAATTGATAATTTACCATTTACATTATATAAATTATCCATATGCACTACGCAGAAAAAAATATGTGTAGAAAAAATCCAAAAATAGATAGGCAATTTTTTTAACTCCCACCAATGTTCAAACTGATTAACCAAACCAACCAAAACCAATTTGGTTTGGTTCGATTTCAACAGCTGGATCTGGTTGGTTTGGGTTGAAATTTACCCAAATCGATCAAATCAATTCTGATTTCGCTTTCGGTTTTGGTATCGAGTTGGACTCAAAACCAACCCAACCCGAAATATGCCCAGGCCTACCTCCAGACATTTTGTACAAAATAGCTGAACTAAGATTTAGCCTTTAAAAGTAATTGGAACGAAGTGCTGGGCACCAACTCACCCTATTATTTTAGGGTTTGTAAAATATGTTGTTACCAATGACGATATTTATCTAAGAGAAAGGAATGTCGCGAAGATGACGAAATCGAAAGGGACTCTAGGCTTTCCATTTATAGAATTCAAGATCAAATATCTTGGTCATTTGAAAGTATTCCTCTAGGACGGTTGCAAGGTTCAAGACAGGAGCTTCTAATCCCAATAGATTTTATAGAGAGTCTGATATGTATGGGACACAAACCAAATAATCATTCCATAAAACCAAACCATAAATATGGAGGAACTACAATAGGAGCCAAACTAGAGAACGACATGTACCAGCAGCTGGCTGGCAAATGGATTTACTAATCTCATACTTGACCAGATTCGTCCTTTGCATCGAGTATTCTTAGACAATTCATGCTTTCATGTGTGGAACTTCAAGAAGTCATTATAGAATACTCATGTATCTGAAGCAATATTTAAAAAGGCAGTAATCAGTACTAAAGGCATTTTCACGGCGTAAGCCTCAAGGCGGATTATTGATTAAGCCTAAGCCTCATCACACACCAAAAAAATTAAGTCCAAAAATTATTTTAAAACAATACAAATATAAAATATAATGAACTATAAATTAAAAAAAAAAATCAAGAATACAAAAAAAGTTAAAATCATAGAGACAGATATTAAAAAAAGAGAGAGAGATAGAGAACCAAAAAAAAAAAAAAATTAAAAGGGTAAATTGCAGAAAAAGCCCCAAACCTTTCAATTTGTTGTAGAATATATCTTAACCTTTTATTTTTGTAGCTATAATCCCAAACCTTTCGCTCTAACGGCACTCGAAGTCCATTGGACAACATCCGTCTAGTATTCCGTTAGTCAACTCAAAATTCAAACTTTGACTCAACTTGACAAATTAAGTGCAAGGTAAAATGGTAAATTACATTTTTTATAATTAAGGAAAATAATTATATCAAAAACCAATAAAATAAAATAAATAAATGAATACACTATTCATCTTCCTCAATCCCCACCCCTCCAACCTCCACCTATCCCTAAAACAAAAACCAGAAAATTAGTCTGTGCTGACCACGGTCATCGGCCTAGACATCGCACCAGCCATTGACCTATTATATATATACACACACACACCCACACACACCAAAATAGTCAACTTATGGCTACCAACCATTAAACCGCTAGGCCCCACAAACGCCAAAAATCATGGTCACATGTAAATAGAGCAAAAATTGCCAAAAATGTCAAGGCCTTCTAAAAAATATATATATTTCTGTAAATTCTCCGATTTGCATATTTCCAAATTTATCCATCCAAATTTCCAAAATGTCCCCAGATTTTTACTTCAAAACAACCTTTCTGTACAATTGCACTTCAATACACAATGGATATAGAGATATAGACACAATGATGCATGTGTAATTGTGTTTAATTGTATGTTTCTTCCATACACTGGTGGAAGTTTGGTCCAATTCTAGCCGCGTTCGATCTGGCAGCACCCAATTTAATGATTTTGTGGATACAAATGAAATAGGTTATGAAGAAATTAAACAAAGAACTTTTCAGAAAATGGAATGTACAAATTTTGGAAAAAGATTGTTCCATGTCTGGTGATTTTGAAGAGGGTTCCATGAAATTAAATTAGAATGAGAATTAGAAAGACAACTAGTTGGTGGGCATTCAGTATAGGTCATTGGATGAGAAGAATGGGTCAGTGGCCAGTGAAGATGGCCAACATTGATTTTCTGGTTTTGGGCATTCGGGGAGGGGGTGCTTAGATGGGTGGGGATTGAAGGAGATGAATAACATATTCATTTATTTCTTTTATTTTATTCGTTTTTGATATAATTATCCTTTTATTATAAAAAAAATGGTAATTTACCATTTTACCCGTCATTTAATTTGTTAAGTTGAGTCAAAGTTTGAATTATTGAGTGGACTAACGGAATGTTGGACGGATTCTGTCCGATGGACTCCAAGGGCTGTTAAAGTGAAAGGTTTGGGATTGTGGCCGCAAAAATAAAAGGTTAAGGTATATTCTACAACACATTGAAACATTTGGGACCTCTGCCGCAATTTTCCCAAAATTAAAATTAGAGATAGAAAGAGGAGACAAATATTTAGCACTTGTTTGAGCCCCATTTTTTGGGTACAATGTATTTAGAATAGTGTTTTGTTGGAGAATGTGTGGATAAAAGGTAAGAGAAAAATCTGGGTTTAAGTGTAACATTATTTTATAATAGAATGTGTTGTTGAAAAACGGGGGCAAACATAGGCTTAGAAATAAAAGAAAAATATTGTGAATAAAATTGTTTATCTGCTGGAAGTTTCAGAATGTTCGGTGCCATCTTGCAGTCTTGTGGAAGAAGGTTCTCTTGTTTCTTAAAAGTGATGAGACGTGAGATAGTATAGTAGATCATTTAGGCTTTTTATTGTTTATTCGCACAATAACAGAATTGATAGGCCCATTTTTTCTGTTTTCAGGAACAAGATGGGCCCATTTAGAAATCCCCTTCATATATGAAACTCATGCTTAAGACTTAAAAAGGATGAAAAATTTAAAGAGAGAAAAAAGGTAAACGGTAGAACAAAATTGAGGCACAGGCCCCATGATCTTTGATGCGCGTATATTGAAGTGTGCGCCTCATTAATGAGGCACCAGCCTCATCGTAAAGTACTATAACTAATGCCTCAGCACAGTACGTGCATCTCACTGCAGGATTGCCTTGACTAGCTCCTTCTCAAAACATGATCTAAAGAACTCCAGTTATTCAAGAAAGAAGTCATTTGCATGTTGAAACATACACAAACGCCGACTGGCAGGCTATATGAGTGATACGAGACCGACTTCAGGAAATTGCATTTTTTGGGGGCAACCTAGTAATGTGGAGACAAGAAGCAATAGCAACAGGTTTGTTGCAAGTAGTGTTTTAGCAGAGTTAATTGCAATAGCACAAGAAATTTGAGAGCTATTATGTTGAAACGGTTTCTTACGGAGCTAAAGATTGAATTAAAGTTACCAATAAAGCTCTATGCTGGCAACAAACTATCAATTAATATATTGCTTGCAATATGCAGAAACAAGACAGGACAAAAGCATGCTGAGGTGGATTGACATATCATCAAGGAAAAAATAGAGGATGGACTTCTATGCGTGCCTTATATTCGTGCAGTAAATCAATGAGCTGACATACTAACTATGCAATTGGCTTAGAGACTGCCGCAGCAGCATCCGTACGATATAATTTCAGCAAACTAGGAACAAATGATATATATGAACCAGTTTTGCAGGTGGAGATTCTTATGTGTATAGTTAGAGACATTTGTAAACACACAATATAGATTTATTCTCTTCTTCACCGTATTTGTCTTTACAAACAAATACATACTTGAAGAAAGACTTGGATGCAGACCAGAATTTGTGGGAATTGAATCCGGTAAATATCAGAATAATACTCTTTCATATACATTGAATCTTCTTCTCCAACATCCAAAAGAACCCATCCGAATCTCGTGATTAATAAGCATATAATCACAAATTTCACACACTCTTCGATGCAAAGAGTAATAATATAAACCGATACGTAAAATATGATATGAAACGTATAAAAGGCAAAAGAATAGGTACCGATTCCCCATGTCTACCAATAAATGAAATTCCGAGAGACACATGGACATGGATACTTTTATTCAGATAGAATACGTATATGTACTATTTGCACACATCCACGCATAGAAAGAAATAGAGAAATAAGATACGAACCTTGAGAGGATGAAGACCTGCTTTGAGATCGAGTGCGATGCGTTCACGGTCTTCGATTTCTCTGTCGGAGGCACCCGGCAGAGGCTGAATATTAGTGGTATTGTTGCCGGAGTTGTTTGTCTCCTGCTCTTTCTTGTCTGCTACCAGTTCCATTAAGCTTTGCTCTCAGCTCACAAGCCCTAGATTTTGCAGTATCCACAGTCTACACCTTCTCCGTATGTTGAATTGAATAATTGAATGACGGTGGGGGATCAATCCGGCTTGTTGGGCTCCTCAGTGGGCCATTTGCGGTATGTTTGAGCCCATTTTCCCGTGGAATACATTTTTGGGGGAAAACGGTGTTTACCTATTAATTTATAAACATTTTATAATATACACTACATAAATATTTATACATCATATATACTTAATACTACATAAAACATCCACCAGAAATACTGCTTCCTAAAAATCTCTCTATTAGACATTTTGTAATTGAAAATTAAATGAGCAAATAGTTCGCTTCATGAAGCCCCTATTTAACCACCATTATTTTCACTCTCTTTTTATATAATCATTTTCAACCGTAGATTCACAAAATAAAATATTTTATATATAGGTTCAAAACTTTTTCATTTTTTTTAACCACACATTCTTCTAAAAATCACTATTGAAAACTCTGTTTTTCCCGAACAATGATTGGCAAACGAGGACTAATTATCAATGCGAAAAGGCTTTTGCAAATTGAAAATTGTATGGGTATCCAGTTGCAAGTTTTCATCTGCATGACGACTTAATACGATTCCCAAAAATATTTTTTTCGATTGTTTGATCATCTAGTATTATGGATTTCTAACTTATAGTAATACTACACTGATTATTTATATGATCTTGCTAATGGTATATCGGGGTGTACCTAATGGTTTACACCCCACTCACATGGACGAGAGACCCAGTCGAATAAAATATTATTTCTTTCATATGGGTCCCACACCCAGGTGAGTGGGGTGTACACCATTCGTTACACCCCATTATGTACCACTAGACAAATTCTTATATATATTGCATTGGTTTGACGAGGGTTGTCTAACTCTGTAAACACATTAGGTGTATTGTTTATTTTCTTTTATTTTCAATTTGGTTGTATAGTTCATAATATGCCTGATGTAATGTTATGAAGAAATTATTTGATGAAAATTATGGAGCCTTTGTTGTGTACAATAGTAGAGAATTCATCTTTTTTGTTAGCTAGGTGTAACGTGAAGCATCAAACATATCTAAGCCCTTGTTTAAGCCTCGTTTTTCAAAAATTCATTTTTTTCAAAACTCATTTTAAACCAAATATTTTTCAATAAAATAATATTGAACGTAAATTCAAAATTTTTCTTTAATTTTTAGCCATATATCTCCATCAATCTACTATTTAAAATGTATTTTTTCATCTAAAATGGTGCTCAAACAAGGGCTTAATTCATTTTATAATAGCTACTAATATTCATCTCTTAGTTGAATTATTTCCTCCCATTTCACCAGGGAGAATTTCCTCATCATGCACCCATCCTCATAAAGGTTGTAATATCTATCAAACTATCTTTCTCATCAGGGCTCGAGCAATCCAATTCAAGGGAATTCTCAATCAAGGCAAATTGAAGTTTGTCCATCAAGATTAAAAAACCTCAACTGGGCCAAAATTATTTTACTGAAGTAAGATGATAAAATATTTGTTATGAAATAACTCCTTAAATCAATTATTACGACAATGTATAGCAACCTATAATATTGCATTCCAAGTAGCATAACATGCGTCCTACTAGGCTAAAAGTGAAATATACACCATCGATAAATATGATCCATTTTATATGAGAATCATCTTAAACGAATATAGTAGGATGATAACATGAATGAATCAAAAAACAAATTGAAATAAATGATGGTGAAGATGAGATTAATGATCCAATAAGTAGTTCAAATCAAACTACCGATAATATCCATTCCCAAATGAGATCTATGAAAAAGTGATTTTGTACGGGCAATCAGATCCCTATATACTACAAATTTGACAAAATACATTTAACAACAAATGGACTTGACATAAATAAATAATAAAATTCAATTTAATCCCGAATACTAATAAAATATATTCCTTTAATTGACAATTTTCATATAAAATAAAACCAAAATACCAAAAAACACCTTTGTTTCAACATTTTTCACGTAGAAAATCATACCAATCAAACACAATAATTTACAATTATCAGGAAAACAATTCTAAGCAATTCAACTCCCTGAAATTTGTTTTCTAGACAATTCAATTCCATATTTATAATCAAACAGACCTTTAGTATAGTTGAGAATTCAAGTATGTCCTCTTGATATTTCAAGAATAAGGGACATCTTTTGTAGATGTGAGGCTATTTAATATCGTTATTATGTTGATTACTTACATTAGTAACACTGCTAGAAAGAACGGCAATAGGGACGAAATTTTAGGTACGGAAACTTCGTTGTTATTAGCGAAAAATTAACAACAAATTAGCAACGAATTATTCTTTTATCATTATTAATAATTGCATATTAAATTATCGACGAAATTGCCAATGATAGTGTTCCCTTGATAAAATATTGTTGCTAATCGTTGGCAAAAAAATTTACAATATACAAATAATGAAGTAAAAAATTACCAACAAGCTTTTTTATCGATGGTTCTGTTGAGATCTATATAAAATTATAAAATAATTACCAACGGAAAAACTTTTGTTGGTAAACTTTTTAAGTAAAATTAAAAAATATATATATATATATATTAAATATCTATTAAACATTTTTCTACGAAAAAGTCCGTTGGTAATTTTAACAAAAGAATTATATTTAATAATTAAAATTTATAGACAAGATATATTCTATCAATAATGCCTTAAATATTATTTAATGTACTTATCAAGCTTAGAAATATTTAAAATAAATTAATTAAAATTTACAAACGAAATATATTTCATCTGTAATTTTTTACAAAAATTTTAAAGTAATTATAAAGCTTTTTCATTCCCCCTTGTTCTTAAATCGTCTCTCCTTTCCGCACATTTCATTTTCCCATTTTCTCTAAAATTTTCGAAGACCTAATCCCATTTCATTGCATCCTCTCCCCTCTATATTCAAACCCTCTTTTGTCTCTCATCTCTCATCTTGGTTACAGTAATGGGTGGGATGAGGCTATTGGAGACTTGGCTATGGTATGTAGTTGGGAGGCTTATCTGTGGACTGTGGTAATGGCGTGAGACTTGGTTGTAGTGACGGCATTGGTAGCGTGTGTTTTTCAAACATCAACTTAGGTCTACAATATTGTGGTAAGAGAAGGGGAAACGAATCTGAAAAACATTGACTTGGGCATGGCTAAATGGACTGTTCAAGAATGATTAAGGCCATGTCGAAACGAATGAGGTGGATGGGATGGAGATTTAGGAGAAGCAGAACCCATTCTAGGGGATAAGGAGCGTAGGTACTTGTCGTGTAGAGTTGTACCTTGCGATCTGGTTCTTGATTATGAGGCTTCTATCAATTGTACCATGTCGTGGCTCATTGTTAAGTTTGTTTGTGGAATGACAGAAAAAGCCTGAGGACAGGATAAAGAGGAGAACAATGCATTTTTCTACTCCCACGTATGCAATATTTCGCCTTCCATGTTCTACTTTTTAATAGCTTTGTTTGCTGGGATCGGTTTTGCTTAGCTGGATTTGATTTCTGATTGTATATGTGCGTATTTATACAGGTTGAGTTCAGAGAAAGATACAAACCCTGTGGGAAGTTTGATAATTATCCAGCGGCGATGTGCTTGAAGCAAATGGATGGAGCATTTAACTATGGCGATAAATGGATTCTGCGGAGAATGAAGAGAACTTCGAATGAGATGAGCAATCCTCTTAGTTTGAATGATGATTAACCAAAGGGAGAAATTACTATACATGTGAAGTAGCACCCATTTAAGATTCTTGATCTTGTTTTGATATTTAAATTACTTGCTAGTACTTAGTTTTAAGAAAATTATGGTGATTTTTTTTTTCTTATTTTTGTGTAGGTTATATTCTTCACGAGAAGAAGTGTACTCTTATGTGTACAACACAAGTGTCTTCAATAGTTGACTCTAAACTATTCTTGTAAATTAATTTCATTTTATGTTGTTTTGAACTAGAAAATTAAGGAATTCAATGAATAATTTTACATTTCCATGTTCATTGTTAGTCTTTCCATGTTCATTGTTAGTCAATTTGTACATTTTATGGAATTATAGCTCTCTCTCTCTCTCTCTCTTTAACTTTTGAATGTAAACATTAATATATAAAAACTTTCCAAGAAAAAAATAATTAAAATATATTCATAATTTTGTTTTAAATTTTAATTCAAATTAGTGATGGAATTAACAATGGAAATCTGTTGCTAATTATGACGGACTTTTAATGTGTAGGTAATTTGTGACGGTAAAATTATTGCTAATGTCGTGGTAATTAACTAAGGAGAATAGTCGTTGGTAAAAACCAACGATTTTTTATTTTTTTGCTAAATTACCAACTCTCAACGAATTCTATAGGTAAATTAGCGGCGCCAATTTCAGAGTAGGATTTATCGACGGAATACTTTTCTTGGTTAAACCCATTACCAATGGAATTCAGGGCATTAGTGACGGATTTTCCATCTCTGAAGCCACATTTTTTTGTAGTGTAACATATAGCAATTGAAAAACATGATGAGAAGTTACACAAATCAATTTAAACTTAAAAAAAAAAAAATGTAATACTTAAGCATATGTTCTGTGAGATAATGTAGTTGAGATATATTAGCCACATTACCGTATCAGGAAAAAGAATTGTTGTGCCCTCGATTTGCATTTACATATGACTGACTGTATAGACCTTGTAGATATATGTGACTAAATGCATGGACCCTAATGATGTTTAATTCATAAGTTGTAGCAATTTATTAATGATTGAGTAATGTTATTCATAGTCATTCGCTATAATTGTCACCTTACGTGATATCTTACATGGCGATTTGTGATTTAATGTATTGATATGGTAGTTTTTTATTGCTTCACATATCGAATCACTAACCGTCACATGTATGCCACGTAGAACGACTGCGAATATAGTGAGTGATTACAAATAGCATTATTCTAATTATATGGCCCTCATGTTTAATTATTTGAATTGAATTTTAAATTAAAGTCGGTTAATTAACCACCTTGTTTTAACTATCCACTTCCATGATGCAGGGAA